CGGCCGGCCCCGGGCTCCGCAGCTGCGCTGGTGACAGCCGCGAATCCAGCCTTTCCTTTTCTTAAATGGGGACCGAGCTAGTCTTTGCGAGCAGAAAAGCAAACATCCTTCTGTCTGTGTTTAGTAGGAGGCATTTGCTCTTCAGTCGCAGTATTTTTGCGACTTGCAAAAAGAATGAAGGGAGAACCTTTTCCAGAATTAATTTATTCTGTGGGTAGACGTTAAATGAAAGATGTCGAATAGTGACATTACTATATTTTTAAAGCAAGAATTTCAGTATTCATATGATAGTTAGGATTTTCAGGGTGGCACCTGAGCCGTACCTGAGTAATAAAACTAACACTTGTTTTGGCAGGCATTTTTCCCTCTTCAGCTACCATGGAAAATAATGAAAGTAATGCTAAGGATGCGAAGAGCACCTCTGATGAAGATGACAGCGGAGACATGGTTCAACAGAAAACTCAGGAAGAAATTCTCTTTCATGAGGAAACCATTGATCTTGGTGGAGATGAATTTGAGTCTGAAGGGAACGAAACTGTATCAGAAGATTCAAATAATTTTGTAGATAAACTGAATGAACAGATGATGGAGAGTGTAATTATTTCAGATTCTCCAAACAACAGTGAAGATGACACAGGTGAACTTGGTTGTCTTCAGGAGATTGTGGAACAAATGGAAGCTAAAGATAATCAAAAAACACAAGCAGAAGTGGATAAAGAAGAGTTTTTAAGTAATGAGAGTGAAACTGAACACGAAGAAACACCCAAAGACATTTCTGAGACTGGAACAGATGATCAGGCATCTTTAAAGGAAGAATCAATTCAGGAAGCAGTGAAGGAGGAACCAAAGTTGGGAAACAACATTCCTGTTGAGACAAAACCAAGTAACATTGATGAAAGCAAACCTGAGGACCAGATATCGTCACCCAGTGCTGGCAAACCGCCTTCTAAGGCTGAGCCTATTCCTGTGTGTACCATCTTCAGCCAAGCAAACAATGTTAATACCCAGCCACAGTTGTTCCTGCCTGATGGTTTTGAGCCTCAGATGGTAAAATCTCCCAGTTCTAGTAGTATAATTGAGACTCCAGTGAAGTCTAATCCACAGGTGGTTCAACCAAGTCCTAGTCTAAGCAAGTTCTTTGGCGATACTGTTAACGCTAATACTTTAGCTTCTGATTTTTTTGATTCATTTACCACATCCAATTTTATTTCTGTTAGTAATCCCAATGCAAGCTCTTCAGTTCCAGAACAAATGTCCCCTCTTTCTAATGGTGGAGACAGTTCTTGTACTTCATCTAACTCTACTTTTTCTGTGCGAAATGGGAGACCTGAAGCAGGTGGTCCTCTGTCATCTCTAGAAATAACTCAGTCCCCCAAGCCGTTCTCACAAATCCAAGCTGTTTTTGCTGGGAGTGATGACCCGTTTGCCACAGCCTTAAATATGAGTGAACTAGATAGAAGAAATGATGCTTGGCTTCCTAGTGAGGAAACCAGAAATGTTCTAATTTCAGTTGCCACACAACAATACAGCACTGTGTTTGTAGATAAAGAGAATCTCACCATGCCTGGATTAAAATTTGATAATATCCAGGTAAGAGTGTATTATTGTATCTTAGCATATGATTATATTTTAAAAATATTGTATAAGAGCTGTCCAGTAATCTGTATATCATAGTGCTTCATATTGTTGCTGATGGTGACCTGTGTGTATTATTGTAATCCTTAGGAAATTTAATGACGCTGCCTACTCGTAGATGAAGGGCCTAAAACCAGGTCTGATTTATTCGTAGTGAAATTTGTTGGGTACGTTGAAAACCAGTATTGACAGTTTCCATACAACCAAAACTGGTTGTATTTTTAAGTAGTTTGTTTCTGTTCCTCCTAGTTTGTAAGATAATGCTTGTGTTTGGAATACATACAGAAACAGTGTGCTGAACTACAAAGTCTGAAAGCAGCTTGCTTTGCTTGTGGAATTTGCTGTTGCAACCAAGTGGGAAATAACAATTTTTGCTGATGTTTGCAGTGCTCTCTAATGTTAACGCTGACTGAAATCACATCATTTGTATCTTCCCTAAGCAGTGGAAAGGTATAACCTGTAAGAAAGTTTGAGTGCTGAAGCAAGCTGCTGGAAAAGGGTAACCCCAAAACTAAAGGGAAAATTCCAGATGAGATCATGAAGGAAAAACATAGTAGTGGAAACTTATTTCTTTTTTTTTCTATCAGAGTTCCCAACTGGTGAGAAGGCATAATGCATTTTTTCAGAATTTGAGATATTTCGTTCAGATCTATTTGGTATTTCTCATGAAGCAATTTTATCCTGGCTACTCAGCCAAGGCTAACTATTGTAATGGAATTTTTTTCTTTAAATAGGTTAATCCTACTCTTTCATATCTATGTCTCTGGATAATAGAATTGTTTTCTAGAGAGATGGTGTTGAGAGTTTGGATACTTTAATCCTTAATTGTGGCAAAACAAAGATTATCAGTCAATAGTCAAATACAAGCAGAGAGCAGTCTGCAGTAACTTCCTAATCTGCACGAACTATCAGAAAAGTTTCTGGAATGAACCAGGTCCAGATTTGTAGCTGAATTATCTGACAAATCTTAGGTTTCTATCACAAGCAGCAAATGATAACAATTTTAGACCTATGCCATGCTGCTGCTACTTCTTGAGTTAGCTTTATCTTAAAACATTTGTTTATCACCGCAAAGCCCAATAATTAGCGTGAAAGAAAACACTGTAATAGGAAGCTACTCCTTCTCCACTCCTTCCAAAAAAAATGGAAGGGTCCTTCCCACCTTCCCCAAAAAATCCCTTAGACTTTGATGAGTAATTGAAGAGCGTGTAGTGTTTCTCTCCTGACCGCTAATGGGATGGACAGAAGGAATGATCCCTCCCACAGGCCCCAAGGGCGAGGGCCGCCTTATTGCAGGCCTCTTTTTCTACAGTAGTTCTCTCTCACCTTTCTCAGTCCAGTCAAGGATTAAAGGCTTGTTTGTACTGATGATTCCCTGAATCTGGGCACATGTATATATACAGATCTGCCATCCAGTGCATAATTGAAATGATGATGTTATGGCGATGTCCATGTGATGTATTTCTACAGTAAAACCTGATGTTAAATCATCAATGGAATTAAAGAGCACTCCTGCTGCTTTCTTCATTGGTTATAATTTATAAGAAGTCACACAGACATGTCGGAAAGGACAAATTTTGAAATGCTTTATGTTTATACAACTTTCCTCATTTCCAGTTACTGCTTTCAGAGGCCTGATTGCTTGCCTTGACTGACCTGACATCCCCTAGTTTGGTATCGTTCTGTATTCTTCTAGTACTGCAAACAGTGTATTTAACTGAAACTATAATTGCAGAGTACTTGGAATGTCAACTGAAACATTGTGGGAGGCATGTTTTCAATGTTAAATCAGCTTCCAACAATGGTCATTGAAGCTTTGGTATGAATAGTTTGCTAATGCTAAATGTTAATGCAAGATATCAAACCAGGCTGCATGCAGTTGACAAAGATGTGGGTTGAAAAGTGCATTTACAGTGAACTGTAAGTGTGCTTCAGGGAAGGACTGAAATTTTGTATGATGTGTATTGAAGAGCTTGGTAGTTTTTTTTTTTACCTACTCACGCAGAAAGTGTTCTTATTATGTTAAAAGTTAAGTGGATAAATCACACCAAGAGAAATAGTAAATGGTCTCGATTTCAACTGCATGCTGCTTTTTGCTGATCATTCAAGAAATGTTATTTTTTTAAACTATTTTGGATGGCATATGGTACAGATTATCTATCTGTACCTGTGTTCTCTTGAGCATGGGAACAAGTTGGAGTAGTGCTTTTTAGGCTCTTTCCGTTGTGTCTTCGTCAGTTGCTGTTTGCTGTCATTATGTCCTTCGATTCATTACATTCATTTGTAATGTTTCCTCCTCCAAAGTACTGTTGAGGGGATTAAAAATTCTTTTGTATTTGTGTCATTTTGCACACACTGTCTTTTCTTAATCCTTCAGGCTCTTCTGTCTGAAAGATGGAAGTCTTGTTTATTCATAGGATAAGTGACAGCATTAGAGGTAAAAATTTTCCATGTAGTCTAAGAGTGGTTGCAACCTCATTCCTCAAGAAACTAGACAGAAAACACACGCATATTTCCCATCACTGTCCATGGGGAAAGTGCAAACGTCTAATATCAATTATCTTTATCGTAGCTAAGATTTACTGTATTTTATGCAGCTCATCTTTCTTTAGGCAAAAGGCTTTGTGGCTTGCTTCCTGCTCTCTGTGCTAACAGCTTTCTACCTCAGTTCTTCAAGTGAATGTTTTCATGTTCCTTTAGTGGGATTTTTGCAAATAATTCCTTTATATGCTTACACTTTTTCATTTCTGCTTTACCATCTTAAATATTGTATGTTATTCTAGTTACCACATATATCTGAAAAGATACAATGGAATTAAAACAAATTGCAGAGAGAGGAAGGATGATGAGGGTTGCAGAGGATCTCTCTTATGAGTGGTAGCTAAAAGGAAGAGGACCTTCTGGCTTACAATGATCTAAAATCCATAAAAGAATTGAGGAAAATAGAGGATTATGTTTTACTGGGTTTTATGGCAAAGGAACTATTGAGTAATAAGCATAACAAAAGGAGTTACTGTTCCGCAGCCCATCTAACTGTTTTTAAGTTGTAGAATTCATTGCCCTGGGATGTACATTTGTTCAGAAAAATAGGCTGAAAAATGAGCAAGACAAATGTCATGGGACGTATGTCTATCAGTGGGTGTTTAAAACCGATAGGCAAATATGTCCCCTGGCACAGATGGACCATAAAGTTCTGGCTGCTTTAAGTTGAGAAAGACCAGTATGAACTTATCCTGTTTCTTGCACTGTTTCCGTGAACGTCTGCTATTCACCGACAGAAAGGCGAACCAGACAGATTTTTACTCTGTCTGAATGTGGGTTATAAATCACTTTCTGTTTAAAAACAAAAATACAAGTATACTGTTAATATATTACTGATAATTTTCCTTATTTTCAGACATTTGCTTTTCTAGATTAAAAACCCGTAAAAACATACGATTGGCAAAAATCTTACAGAAGTCATTTCTGTTACCTACTTTTGGCACGTGGTGACTTCTGATGCTGTAGGGGATTCCCTTTTATACAGTAATGTGTACAGTCCCAGAAAGACACCCCCGGCCCCCTGTCCTAGACTGTGTATGGGCAGACGTGGTACCTGAAGAGTGTGCAGACAGTAGTAGCATGGTTTTCAACATCTGCCAGTGTGTGGCCCGCAATTTTTCAGTAGGTGCTTGACGTTAAGCTTGTATTTCTTGATTACCTGCTGAAAATCTCTAGTACACAGAACCACAAGGATGTCAGCCAACAGACAGAAAGGCACAGAAATTGATAGTTGAATGAAGATTAGAAGGGGAAGTTGAGGCACAGAGGGTGCCATATACAGAGTTATTTCGTTTATTGCTAGCAAAGCTGGAAATAGAACCTGGATTTGAACACTTTTCCTCTTAGCTGCTCCATTTCGTAAAATGTAGAATTAATCTTGTCTAACTTTAGAAATCTGTTTCAAATGTCTGTCTCGACTGGTCTCAAATCTTCAAATTACTGAGCTCAGATAACCCAATTTCTCAGAGTGATTCCTGCAGTTAAATATTTTGAAATTAAGAATACTTGTTGACGAGTTGCTGTTTACTTACTTTTATGAACTCTCAAAGTTTATTTTCTGTGGATACTTGAGGCTAGCTGATCATGTGCACGTTTATCTTTGATCAGTAGATTGCACTTTTCAACATTAACATCCATTGTGAAAACCTGTAAAACTTAACTGTGTTTTGTAAGATCTTGGAGGAGTATTTTGTAAGATCTTTGAAGGATAATAATATAAGAAACAAATAAGCCTGAATGTTTCTATGCTAACTGAAACTTACACACTGAAAAAAAGAATATAGCAAATAATATGGAGTAAATCTAGAAGTTTTCATTAAAACACTGTAAATATATATGCATTTATATTCACTTCACACAAAAAGTACTGGAAAATAAGCATTTCTCAAGGGGAAAGAACTGTGTTGCTCAGCTTTAATTGAACGTCCTATTTTGCTAAAATAATGTTTAAAAGTGTCTTGTTATGTTTCTTCTTTTTCTGTTCCATGAACACCAAGGGAGATGCAGTAAAAGACTTAATGCTTCGCTTCTTGGGGGAGCAAGCGGCAGTGAAAAGACAAGTTTTAAACGCCAACTCTGTAGAACAGTCATTTGTAGGCTTGAAACAGCTAATTGTAAGTAACAATCTTCATAATTCAATATACATTAAATGCCACGCTTCCCTCAAGATAATTGGGAGGTACTGACTGAGGAGAAACTAAAAAAAAAAAAAAAAACAATCTACATAGCAGTCTATTCATGATCCTGCAAAAGTACTAGCTGAAGTACGGTAGTTTTTAGTGGGAATGACACTAGGGTTTAAATATTTGGTTTTAAACGAGGTAGTAAACTTTTTTTTATATGCAAGAGTTAGAAAAAAGGTAATTTTAAGTTACTGTGGATTTTATCAGCTGTTAATTTTTATGTAATGTAAAAGGTTGCAACAAAAGGTAAGACTTACCAGTTGCTGTAAGTGGTAAGCAAAGCTGTTGTGATAATTTCAACTGCTTTAATTTTTTATTTCAGTGCAGGAAAACTAAACTAAATTGCTTCCAAATGAAAGCTTAAGCTTCTCTAAGTTAAAATCCTTTCCTTAATGTAAATATTTTGGAATTGGAAGTAGTTGCACGTAGCAACCTTGTGAATCTTACCTTCTTCTTTCAACCATTATATTCCTATATGAAACTCATTACTATTGCATGACTGAGCCTTACTTAATCTGTTGAAATGTCAAAATATTTTAGGCTTATTTTATTTTTGAAACAATGGACGAAAAATGACTGAGGAAAAGCAGTGAGGAATAAGTGTTAGAACAGTCTATATTTGATATTTAACATCTCTTAATGTAATTGTGTTACATTACATGTAAAGCTCCGAAAGAGACTTTTTTGTCATATTAAGAAAACTCGAGGTTGTCTCTGCAAGCATTGTTAAAGAAATTGAGGGATAATTTTGGAAACTAAACCTGAAAAAGCAGATTGTGATCTCCATCCTGGACATAGATATTTTCTATTCGTCTCAATGTTTTGCTTAACTTGAGAGTTAGGAGGAGGGGAAAAAAAATCTTACTAAGAAATCTTGTCCCCATCAGTGTGTAAGTAGGAAGAGCTCTTTTCTGCACTTCCTTTCCCTCTTCCAGAAGAGAAGTTTTGATGTATGGGAAATATTCTTCTATGTGACCTGGTAGTTGTGTCCATGCAAAACGTTATTCTATGCTGCAGACCATCTTGTACCTTAAATACAGTGCTGCCACTGATAATGTTTTAGCTTTGAGTGTGCTCATAAGCTCCAGAAGAGCAGTGTTAATGCTTTTAGGATCAAAGCAGAGAAGACAGGAGGTGATCTGCTGCTGTCAGATTTTTTTGCTAACTGTAGTAGATTTTTTTTAAAACTTGTCTTATTAGAAGGGGGTTTTTGATAAAATTGCAGCCATTCAGCTAGAAGTCAGGATATTTTCCAGTTTTCAAGGCTTCCAATCATTAGCTGTTGGTTGTTCTTGAGTATGCAATACCACTATTTCTCAATTTTGTTTGCAGAACTGTGTTTCTTTTTATGATAAGAATTAGTTGTGGGGTTTTTTTTCTTTGCAAACGTTGCTGTTTTTTCTGAAATTCTTAATGTGGAAAATTTATTTCTGATTGGCCACAGTCTTAAAGGTAAAAGGTATTTCAGACTTAGAAGTGTTAAAATTGCATGCTAGATGATATTAATTAAAAAAAAATATGCTTTTTGCATACACAGTAGGCCAGAATGACATGTAATAAATGCTGTATTACCAACCACCGATTTTACTTACTTTATGAGTGGATTCCTGACCAAATATGTTCAGTGAATGTATCTTTCCATGCAAAGGACCACTTGCAGGAAATATTTTTGTAAACATCTGGATGAAAACTGGTGAATGTTGGGAATATTGCTGTGCAGTTTCCATAAAGTTAGGATTTTTTTTTTCCTTAGCTGTTTGTTTGATATCTATGTGAACTACACATGAACATGAGAATTAATGAGATAATTTCAGTCACCCACTTCAATCTCTTGCAGCAATGGACAGCAACTTAAAAAGAGTCTATTTCAAAGGAGTCCACAGTACAGAAGAGAAACGCATAGAATTAGCATAGACTTCAGCTTCAGACTGGTACCTGTTATTCAGGTGTTTACATGTGAGCTGATGTCTGAACTCTTAAGTCAAAAGAGATCTAATCAGTACAGTTACTGATCACATCTAAATTTAGATGTGTAAATCTGGGATTCCATCTGAAAGTCTCAAGAACTGTCACATTGCTGTAGGAAGACACCAGTGGCATCTGAAACCAAAAGTGAATGTTAAGTCCTGTTACGAAGAAATTTGTTAGGTTAAAATTCTCAGATGATTGTGGGTGAACTCCTTCTTATGGGAAGGAAAGGAAAAAAAAAGCAAAAACCAAAAGCAGTATTCCAAGCCTGTCTGCTCCAGAGGAAGGTGCTTCATTTGTATCTGGTTACTGTTTTAATCCTGTGTGGATGGGAAAAGCATGCATTATGGCTCATCAGTATCGCAAATCTTTGTACCACAGGTCTTCAGCTGCAACTTTGGAGCTCCTCTATTCTACCATACAGTTCCTTCTGTTAGCTTATTTGGCTGTTTTAACCAATACAGATACATTGTTGCTACTTTCAAAGGCTTTTCGAGAACTTCGTTCTTTTGATGGTTAATCAAAGAAATTCTAATCAATCCTCTCTCAAAATCTTTTTTCTAATCAAAGATAAAGTTGTTTACAACAATTTAAGTGTTTTGATCTCATGTTGCTTTTTAAGTCATTTTCTCTTCTCAATATTTGCTTCCTCTCTCCTGCTGCTGTGTATGGGTAGACAGCAGTGACATTTCCACTTCTTAGATTTTCCTTTTAAAGGCAAAAATAACTCTTCTCTAGTCATCTAATCATAGATGTCTTCATAATCATCCTAGGAGCTCTTCTCAGAATCTCTTCCAATTGAAGCTAACATCTTTTTTCTTATCACTGTCCAGAACTCAACACATCAAATTGTAAGTTATGTGACTTTCCATGTTAATGATTGTGTTTTACCTTCTTTATGATTCCAATATTGTAAATCATCTGATCCCTGTTAAGTGATGTGGTCCTTATATATATTGACAATACTTCCTAGATTACATTTAAAAATGCAGATATCAGCCCTGTTCACTAGGATCACAAAAGAATATCTTAAATTGGATTGATTCCAGTGTACATCTTTGAGTAGTAACTTCTCACTTTCCTTATAAAAGTTCCAGTAAAAAACAGTTACTTGTACAAGTTAAAAAACAATTCTGTGGTTAAAGTGAAGTTAGTGCTTGCAGCAAAGAATGCTGGAGACTGAAGTCCTTTTGGAGGGGATCATAGTGCAAACAGTCACAAAAGTTTCCTCAAGTACAATTAGTTGTCAGAAAACAAATGTTATCAAGAAGGTGGAAAGCTGAACTTCCAAAGGTGAGATGAGACCTTCTGATGAGATTGGCAACAGCAGCATCATTTCTAAGACAAATAGTTGTTCATGAGGAACTGAACTCAGGTTGTTAAACTCAGCTAATAAAATTGTTCAGCATGAATTTGGTCTCTGGTTGATTCGAGTGAGATTTGTACCAGTAACCCAAAGATGGATAGTTGGTTTGTGGAAAAACTGTACTTTCACATTTTAAGTTTCTTCTATGGAATGAGCAACAGTGAATTGGAAATGCTTTACTGGTAGAGTAATGGTGCGGAGGTTGTGCAGTTGAACTAGTTTTACAACTTTGAGGCTTTTAAGAGATACAGGGGTGCTGGGGCGGTCTGGCAAAGTAATTCTGTAAATCTGTGTGCTTATCATTGTAAATAGAGTTATACATCTGTAGAGGTTAAGTGTTTCTGTTTTTCAACTGAAAACAGAAAATCTGAGTTTACAGTTTCTGAAAAGTTTTATTAATCTGATACAGGAACATGCATTTACCTCTAGAGCAAATAAAGGTAGGCAAGAGCTTGTCTTCACAGCATTGCTTTGTTTTATAGCAGCAAATAAAAATTATACATACAAGGTGCAAGCTCCAATTATGTTAGTTCCTGTTACTTCGTATTTTAGATTAATGGTTTACCCTCATTTGAACAAATAACGCAGTATTTCTTACTAGAGACCTTTCTGATATTTTGAGTAAGGTGTTTGCAGCCATAGGAAAATTATGTCTTTGGTAGTTGTCAAACCTAAAAAAAACCTACTGTATCTTGCCACTATAAATATGCAATGTTTGCTCTAAGTATGTAATAATTTCTTCAAGCTACTAGACCAGGAAAGGGTTACTGACTACATTTTCTTAACTGATGTGATAGTGCTCTACCAATGTAATTTACAGGGGAGAAGAATGTCATAGCTAGTGGAGGAGGACATTTTAATCACTTTAATGGTGTTACATGTAGAGTTAATGACTCCCTTTGAGTCTATTTAAAAAAAAATCATATACTGTTACTTTTGCACGTGATTAATATTGTGCTCTTACATATGTTTTCAAATGTAACAAACTTGGATATAGTGGTATGGCATACATATTCACTTTAATAAGTTAGAAATTATCCTTAGAAATATGGAGGGCGGGATGTCCTTTCTTTCTAAATCAGTGGGCAATTTCCAACATTTTTGTATCTGATTTGAGAGAAGATGGGAGACACAAGTAGCAGAAGCAGTAACTGAGAGCTTGTGGGAGGGGTTGCAATCCTACACTAAAAAGCATCAATTAATTGGATAAAATTTCAGTGGCGTACCTCTGAGTCAAAATTGTTTTCCTGAGAGACTGAATAATGTTATAAATTGTCTTCGTGTATCAGGTCAGTTCCCTTTTCATTAAATACATTTTCTGTAGATGTCCAGTCCACTGCTTGACAGAAGAATGCCACCTGGGTATTTGCCGTATTTGTTGAATCATCTGAGCTTCACTGCTTTCATTCAGGAAAACAATGTACAGTATTGTATACAAAGGAGAAATATGAACACTTCTGCAACCATATGTCTAAAATCTTTGTTCAACTGTGATTTAAAAAATCAAGCAAAATTGACCTGCATGAGGAGACTTCCAAGGAACAGTTATGTATACATGAGAGTGGTATTCAGCTGCTCAGTAGGGGTTTTTTCAGTCCAAATCAGTTAATATCTTCATAATAGAATCTGTCTTTCAGATATAGTGAAAACTCTGATAATTACAGTTCTTATGACAGTTTATTAGAAAAGGAGGAAATGTGAAAAATGTTTTTCCAGACAGAATACAGTTTTGGCTTGTATTGGGTCATTTTATTCAAATGGAGCTTTTCTTCATTTCTGTATCTAAAAATTAAAACATCTTCAGTGCTGTTCTTGTATTTGAACTAATAACATTCTGGTTTAGTCACTGGGATTCTTTTCTACCCTACATCTCATTCCTTCCTCCCTCTTTGTAGAAAATATGCTTATTGAAGACACTGGGATGTACAGAATACCTCAGTTACTTTTAACTTAGACCAAATCGACGAGAAGCATTATGAGATCTTTAGATGTGGATTTATCAGAATTTATAACTCATACTGTTGACTCCATTTCACATAGTTTTTAGGCTGTTTTCCTTTTATTGCTTTTATAGAAGGAGATCATGGTATCTTTATTCAGGTTCTTATTTTGAAAATAGTGGAATGTAAGTCAGTAAAATGAGGAGTTGGGAGTTGATCACCTTATACTGTAATTTGCATCTGTTAAAGCTGCAGATACAGTGTTTGATTAGGTTGGCGATGCGAACAAAAGAAGCACTAAGATAATAAACATAGTGTATTTGTTCCAGAAAAGATATGTCAGATTTGTGTGCACGGTAAGCTCTCTCATTGAAGAGAGGAGGAAAAGGGAGGGGAAAAAAAAAAAAAAAGGGTGGGCAGGAGGGGCTCTGTAACACACAAGTCTTATTGCCTCAAGCTACATAAAACTTTTAGTTCCTACCTCTACAGGGTAACAGCCTGTCAAAATCCTGGCACTACTGTCTACTTTTTTGATTTAAACCTAGAGCAATTGTATTCAAATCTCAGACAACTTGAGAAGTTCAATGAAAAGATAAAAAATTCTTGGGCTAGTTCTGTCTTTCTTAAAGAAAAGTATAAATCCTTTTTATTTGAAACCTGTTTTCCTATGCAGTTTCCCTGTCTGTATGTAAACCTCCCCCAGGACCTCTTCTGATTTTGCGAAGAACAGAGAAGTTCTGCAGGGAATAAAGCAGTCACATTGTCTGTTGGGTGGCTAATCTGCTTGTCTTAGCTTTGGTGTGTGTACAGCAAGCAGTAGGTGATGGTATATGGACCAAAGAAATCCCTCACAAGTTAAACATCTGGACTAGTAGTGTGTAAAAAGCATAGAAATCATACAGTCTGGTGGCTTTCACTAAAAGAACAACAGCTCCATACTTTTTGTGGAAAAAAAAAAATTTGTTAATGTTGTCTGTGGAGAAAGTTCTCTTCTGCCAGGCTGGTGCTGTGTTAATGAACTACTTGGCAATAATACTTGGTTGACAGTATTTTCTCTAGGAGAAAATAATGTTTTCACACAATTGCTGCTGGATGACCATGTCTTGATCATCACAGAATAATTATTTTATTCTTTGAGAGTATTCTTCAGTATTTTTGATGCTGTATCTGAAGCTGTAATATCCATCTTTGCTTCAAGCCTCTACTTAGGATTTACTGGCAAAATTAATCCCTGTTACTTTCAGGAACAAGGGACCTGGGTGGTTAGGACTGTGTGGCTGTAGACCACAGGAATTGTGAAAGTGACTGACCTGCAAGGTTTTGAGGGGTGTTTGGAATAACTGCATAAAGATTTCTGGTAGACTGGCAACTGTGAGTCTGGTACAATTTGCCAGAGACAATGTGTCCTGCTAATTTCAAATTAAGTTACACTGGCAGCAGCCTTTTATTAAGCTTCCACAGAGAATTACGCTCCATGACCAGCAAGCAGCTCTAATTTTGAAATTGTGATGAATGTTATATTTTCCAGCAAAGACTGTTTGTATGATGGTTGTCAGACTTACTTCTCCTGGCTGTCTTGTTCTTTAAAGAAAAAGTATTTTTTGTCCGTGCCTGAAATAGAATTTTAAAAAATGTAGCACTTAAGTTTGTCAGAAATGTTCCATGATTATTTTTGGATCCTAACTCGGGAAGAAAAGTTGAGCAGTTTTTTACTGTGTCCACTTCTGTTCTAAGGATAATAAGAAATTAATTTGTCTCTGCAGAAGAGGAATAAATTTCTGCTTTCTATGTTGATAGAGATGTATGTTAAAAGATGGTATAAATGCATTATCAGTTTCTGCTCTTCCATAAGAGTGTAGACATCTCAGAAGTTGCTGTGCTGCTGCGTGGTCTTGCTGTCAGCTGACTTCTGCATTTCTAGTGAATCTCAAATTTTTATCTGGGATTTGACAATGCAGGGGAGAGAGCTGAGCTGGTCAGTGCATGGTGATGTCTGTAGTGGCCCTTTGAACTATATGGCTGCCAAATGGGGGCCAGAGAGTACGAAAACTCTTCAGCTGTTGCCACTAGTTTTTTTATGTAACTGTTTGCTATATTGACATGTTTTCTAAACTTTGGAGAGAATTTAATAAAATACCAATTCAAGGTCAGTACTGGAACTTTGCAAGCACCAATATGAGTATATTCTATTCCTTTGCATTTCGTCAGACAACGTGACAGTTTTGGCTGGGCTAGAGTTAATTTCCTTCCTGGTAGCTGGTACAGTTCTGAGTTTTGGATTTAGGATGAGAATGATGTTGATAACAGAGGGATGTTTTAGTTGTTGATGAGCAGTGCTTATGCTAAGCCAAGGCCTTTTCAGGTTCTCACCCTACCCTACCAACGAGGAGACTGGGGGGGCACAAGGAGTTGGGAGGGGACACAGCCGGGACAGCTGACCCCGGTGACCCAAGGGATATCCCACACCGTATGATGTCATGCTGAACAACAAAACTGGGGGCAGTTGTCTGGGGGATGGCAGCGCACTGCTCAGGGACTGGCTGAGCATCAGGCACGGAGTGGAGAGCAATTGCGTTGTGCATTACTTGTTTTATATATTCTTTTATCATTATTATTATTATTTTCCCTTCCTTTTCTGTCCTATTAAACTGTCTTTATCTCAATCCACAAGTTTTACCTTTTTTCCAGTTCTCTTCTCCATCCCACTGTGGGGGGGTGAGCAAACGGTTGTGTGGTGTTTAGCTGCCTGCTGGCCTAAACCACAACAAAGTATTTAAGACGCTATTTGAAAAAAGATTATTTTCAGGAACAAGATGTATTTGTTTTATAATGACCTACTGGATATATGTCTCTTGAAAAACTCTTATGGATGATGGAAAAACATGATAGCGTAAAACCTGTGAAGCATTAGTCTCTGTTTGAAGTTTTTGGTACTGTTAGCTATTCACATGGCAGCATTAGCATATAAAAGGCAGAAACTTTGATAGGGTGACAGTGTGACAAGGCAGTTTGACTTGTCTGACTAGGAATTATTTTGTTTTATGAATAAAAAAAATATTTTAGAATATTTTGAAGTTAGCCATGCAATGGAAATTCAGATGTTTACATTTTATAGGTGAAACAGTTGTTATTGTTCTGAATTTATCATTTTATGCATAGTATTGTTTCTTGTCCTTTGTTCTTAATTGACAAGAATTCTGTGTTCTGGGCGATGTTAGGGAAGTGTATTTTCATTAAATGAACTGCACTAGGGGTTATAATCTGAAATACTGAAGTCAATGAGGTACAAATAGGCGTTAAATGCTTTATAACAGTAGAGTAACATTATTGAAATGTGGCTGGCGATTTTTTTCTCCTTTTGAGGAGAAAACAAAACTGTGACTATTATAGTATATTCAGGTATATTAGCAAACATGATACAGCTTTAAGTTTAGAATCCCATATGGTGTTGTATAGTCTTTTGTTTTACTGATCTGATAATTCTAATACTTGATTTCACTTTTTGCCTAATTAGATGTACAGCTTTGACAAATAACATTCGGCTTCTCACCTGCCAGTTCTCCTGACCTTGTCATTATTGCTGATGAAGCAGCATATAGCTGCTTCAGGCAAAATAAGCAGTTGTGTGTTTTAGGGACTTTATGATTTTGCTACTTACTGTTTTCTTCTTCCCAGAGCAGTAAAAACTGGAGGGCAGCAGTTGACTTGTGTGGGCGGCTTCTAACTGCACATGGTCAAGGCTATAAAAAAAGTGGACTACCTACTAACCATACAACAGATTCTTTACAGGTATGTTTAAAGATACTCTGTTGTCACTTTTTTCCAATAATATTCACAGTGGCTTTTTTTTAACATGATCAAACTTCCTTTCCTAATTGTTACTTAAAACCTGAGCTTATTAAAGCTTGTAGCAAGTCACTTTTTCTGTTTGTTGATGTAAAATAGGGCTTCATTTAAAACAAAGTATTTTTTTTCAGTAAAATTCTATCTTGATTGGATGGTTTTTCAAGGAAATCACACTAGTAAAAAGGAGTATGTTTTGCTATCTTGGAAGACTCACTGTAGCTAAAGTTCATGGACACTAGATTGTGGACTTTGTAGTAAGACTTCAAATGTGAGAAGTATGTTTCATGGGGATAAGAAAATAAGAACCCAAAGTGATAAACGTTCATTAAACCTTACAAGTGTTTAACTGAACAAAATGTGACCACATGACAATGCATGGTTCTGGCCCTTGTAACTATAAAACTCATGGGATTTCACCAAAATCATAACAGATTTTAAGAATTGCATAAACTTGGAAAAACAATTAAAAATCAGATTGGTAATTCTTACATGCTAACTCAGTTTAAAGAGAGATGTTCTAATTTTGAAGCAGACTAATTCTTAAACTTTGTTTGCAAAATCTCAATAACTTTACAAACAATTAAAACATCAGTCCTCTGTGTTTTGTTTTAATGATCTTGTGAAAACTATTCAGTGAAAGAGCATGTAAATACAAATCCTGATTCTTATCGGTAAGTGACATAGAAACTCTTTACTCAACTTTAACAGAAAAACTTAGAAAGTTGAAATTGTATTTGGATGTGGCTGGTGACTGAAGCTAATAACAGATCTTGTCTTTTCCTTTTTTTTATATGTATTAATTTTTAGCTGTGGTTTGTGAGACTAGCACTGCTGGTAAAACTGAATCTATTCCAAAATGCAGAAATGGAATTCGAACCATTTGGAAATTTAGACCAGCCTGATCTTTATTATGAATATTACCCTCATGTGTACCCTGGACGAAAAGGTAAGATACTTGATTTATAAAACGCTTTTTATTTTTGCCATTTTACCAGTCATTATAAAATAATGGATTCAGGTTTTTTTAATTCTAAAACATTGGTGAACTTGGGATTTCTTTTTTTCCCCCCAGAAGAACCTGATTAACTGCTATGTTAAAGTATTGTTTGTGTTATGGAGGTAGCAATAAGGGGTAAAACTATTCCATCACAATATAGGTAGGCAATGTGTTTCATGATGGTGGTACAGCATTGATTTGAAAGAGGAATGTTTTTAACAAGTAATTACAATAAAGTAGTTTAGTTCTAGGATATTGAAATTTAAACCCGCCCAACTTTGGTAGTTCTTTTTAGCCAGAAACAGGCTGTGAAAGGTGATGAGAGAGTTTGTGGAAACAATCTATAAGCTTTTCCTCTTAAATTCATCCAGGTACTATCAATATGCTATTTTTAACACTCTTGTGTCCATGCACACATGCTAATGCAGGTGTTGCTTTCTTAAGGTTTCCTGCTTTCTAGGATTTTTTAAAAAAAAAAAGAGAGCGCTAATTTGGTAATTTTCCTTAATCCAAAAAAAATGCTGGTTAAAGGTAATATTATTTGCTTAGTAATTGAAACTAAATAAAAATCAATGATTTACTGTGTATCCCATTGCTGAAGAGGAAAAAAGACACTACCAACCTCAATTCTTTATAAGCGGTTTATCTTGAGTTATAAATGCACTACTTCACACTGCTCCCAATAGCCCATATGTTAACCAAATCGCTCCACTACCCAGGGTATTCTAGTCCTCCAGGAGTCTAGATTTCAAAATTGCAATTTTTAAGAGCAATTTCACTTCTGTTCAGGCTGTTTTGAAATTTTATTTTTTCTGAATCTGTTATTTAGAAATAAATAACTCTCTGATGCAAGTACACTGCTGAGTGATCTTACTGTTCTTTGGCTTTTATATTTGGACCACGATGTATAATAAAACACTTGTAAGTGACAGTTGTAATAGGCAGCGCCACTCTCTGAAAAAGTATAGTCCATTTTACATAAGATGCTGGTAATGGAGTAACATAGAAAAATACTGAGATTTTGAGGTTACTGAGGAAGGGAAGTTGCTGTCAAGGAAGTTCAGGATCTTTTGGAGAAGGTTGCTTCATCTGTTTAGTGATGCAAAGGATAAGTTGTAGCTCAACAAAGCCAATATGGACAAGAACAAGTCCCTCTGACCTTACTCATCATCTTTCAGACAATCACAAGCAGATGTTTCCTGTTTTGCCTTGAATATATTCAATCTGCTGAGAAGGAACTATGTTATTTCTAAGAATGAGAGAGGTTTTGGTCATCAAGTTGGACAGCTCTTTGGATCTGGTTATATTTTGGCATATGATGCAGTGCTGCCCAGGAGAAGTAGTCTTTCCCAGGCCTTTTGTATGCCTGAGAAAACAAAAAGATGTTTCCACATCTTTTTCAGTATTAAAAATAAGTTATTTTGCCTAAGAAAAGAATCCTTACAGGTCATGTCAATAGAGGCGTTTCAGTCCTCGTGCCCCAGAGCATACAGGCAGCTAAGGTTCTGGACAGTCTGGCCAGCTGTTGCAGGCACCTGTCTTGTGACCAAACTTTGGATCCAAACTGTCTTTGCAGCAACCACTCAACCACTGCAGCTATTTCATACAAATTAGGAGGGTATCTGTGGTAAAAGGTGAGCATAAGGAAAATATTCTCTTTCGTGATTATATGCCTCAGTTCATTTTTAACAGTTCAACATGCCAACCGGGGCCATAATCATCTATAAGGAAAATAAGATCAAGGTTGGATGGAGCTGACCTGCTGGCTGTAGATATCTCATATAAATACAATGTCATTAAGATGTGGGAACTGCTATTAAACCTTTCTTATGTGGTTTTGAGGAGAGAGAGAGGTGGTATTTACAGGGGTGTAGGAGAGAACAATTCTCTTCTGGCTAGCATTAAACTATGCAATGCTGGATTATGGATAAAGAAATTTAGTATGGATGCATCGTTAACCAGCTAATTTAAATAATAAAATATATATAAATCATTCATATATTTTGGTTGAAATGTATTAGTATGAATCCACAATCCACTGCTGCTTGGTAATTTTACATATCATTTTGTGGTGTAACAAGCATAAAAGGAAGAGGTTTGTTTCAACATTTTAATTTTAATTCATGGTATATAAATGGAGTAAGCACTTAAAAATCAATTTAAGCAATGAAAGTATAAATATAAATAATGTACACATTAACTTTAATGCATAGTTTCTCTGTGTTCAAAATATTTATAATAAAACAACTGTAATAAATTAGAAAGTTTTCCATATTTTCTATGCTTGAAGTAAGGAAAGTTTGTATACCTGAGCTTCTTACAGCAATGAGGATAGTCCCTCATCCATTAATCTCTGAGAAATATACCTCAAAGAATTTAAATTCCAAGTAAATGTATGAGGGTGGAAGATATTTTTTCCATTAATTTAATTTAACATGAACATGGCCAACAAGATCCTCTTAATTTTCTTCTGAAGCTCTCCCAAGGCTCTTTCCAAAAAAACACTGCTACTCTCTGTTTCGTCCTGAGATTTTGTATGGCATTTGCAGCCATGCTGTGCATGGATCCCATTACTGTTGGCTTCACCGTGACTGTTAAGAACTAATCTTTCTGAAATCTTCCGTTCCTGGTTTCTACAGGCATCTCCGTTGCCTGTAGGTGTGCACCATCGGGGAGGTGGGATCTGCTGGGATCCTTGTATCAGCCAGGGAAATTAGTTAAGTCACTCTGATCATTCCTGTTTGATACAGGGGAAGAGAGCAAACCATTCTCATTTTCTAGTAAAATCTTAAAATTACTGGGTTATAGATTTATTTCTTCTAAATTCATCTGCAGAGAGAAGTGAAAAAGTCCAATTTTATATATAATTTTTTCATTTTGCAATAGGTAGGTACTTATGTCAGGAACTTTGTTCCAGATTACTTCCTGCACATCTCCATTGTACTCTGTGAGGTATATAAGGCTGAATTTTTGTCATCGTTCTCATAACTAATGGATTTCAGGATATTTTGGGTTTAGGATTTTGTCTTTATATTTACACAGTCTGACCCACTTCTGTTAATATCGTTTGTTTCTGTTTTGCTCATGATACTGAATAAACTCTCTCATATAATAGATCGGCTAACCTGAGATATCCTTTCCATTGGTAATGCCTATGTGTTTCTGAAACAGTGAGAGCCGACAATTAAAATGGAATGTTAAAATGCTATTTCATCCTTTTATGAGATAATTTGGTCTTGTTTCTGGTTAATAGACCAGTAAGTTACAGAAAAGTTAATGCTACCAAAACCAGTGTTCTAAAGCTACAATAATTGAGACTAATTTATTTTGAATTGCAAAGGAAGAAAAAAAAACTGCACAAGTAAAAATAGGACTTTAATTCCCCTGACTAGAGGTGGGTTTTTTTGCTTTCTCCTTGTGATGATAGAGCATCACCTGTATTCCTCTAACATGAAATCAGTCTTCTGTTGTCTGGTGGAAAGTGCTAAATATTTAGTTGTATGTGCTCTAGAAACTGATTTCATACTGTACACTTTCCCGTGAACTCTGTTACTAATTCTAGCACAAGGTTTTTTTTTAAAGCGTGGCTGTGTTGTGACCATAGGGATACACTAATGCATGCTGCAGTAGGCTGACACTTTCAGATGCATAGTGACGCTTTAAGAAAACAGTAATATATATTATATATATTAAAAATATA